TGATCTGTTTCTCTCACAAAAGGATTCCTGCAAACTCTTCATATCTCTAGACTAGAGCATGCCACGATAGGAATAAAAAAGGACTTTTTTTTTTTTAAAGAAACTGATTTTAATTTAGCTCCACTGTAGAGATAAAAAATAATACTGATATTACTATTTGAAAATTTCTATTAGTGATCCATAATATATAGGCAGACTGTCATACTAGGAAAACCCTGGACTAAGAGTTAAAAAACCCAGTTTAAGTCCCAGCTTTGCCACTAACTTATGACTTCAGAGAAATTCTTTGACTTCTATGTGCTTTAGTTTTTTTAAAAAAAGGATTTCTGATATCACTGAGCTGACATTGAAATGTAGCACCCCTAATTAGATGACAACATGAGAGAGAAGAAGGCCCAAGCCAGGAATATGGCAACTTCTGCTATTCTTCAAAGATGCTGCTGAGGCTCCTTGAGGAAACATGGCCAGACAGATGGGCCTTTGGCTGGGAGCAGCAGCTAGAACCAAGAGGGCAGGAATTGCTACAACCACTGCTATCAGCCCTCTCGGAAGGGGCCTCCCACCCTCAAGATCCACAAGGGGCAATGACTGCAGCTGCCAACTAATTACATGCAAAGGAAGAATCATGGAATCATATTTGTACCTTCCATTTCAATAGTTGGGGAAGATATCTCCTTAATCTAGTCCATTCAATTAAAGCAATGGAATTGAGAAATTCCATGTGCCAAATAGCAAGAAATGTTCACAAGAACCCCACTGCCGGTTATAATTTTGAACTAAACCTACATTAAAAATTTCACATGGGAATACAAATCACGAATTTTAAAAATACCTGTTGAATTAGATATGTGGACCATGTGAGCCACTGGTGTGTTTGCCTGAGGCATTTGACAGTTGATGCAGGACAGTTCATCTGGTTTTCTGAATAGTTCCTCATTTTTTTCCAGGGGCTCTGGCCTTCAGTATCAGTCTTGCAAGGTGAGAATGGTACTATCACTGTGACTGGGTAGCAAATATTCCGGATAAAAATATTTTGGTAGATTTTTTTTTTTTGTCCTTTTTGAGACCGGCCGCACCGCGCTCAGCCAGTGAGCACTGTGAGAGCACCGGTCATCCCTATATAGGATCCGAACCCGCGGCGGGAGCGCTGCTGCGCTCCCAGTGCTGCACTCTCCCGAGTGTGCCACGGGCTCAGCCCAAAATATTTTGGTAGATTTTTAAACAAACTCTTACTTAACTCAAAAATATTTTTAAAATATGATATGTTATAAACCTCTTCAATATCAAGAAGCAAGACATAATGATTTGAATATTTTATTTTGACTTTACATGCGGTGTTAAAAACCCAAAGTACATATTATTTACACCTCCACAATACAAGTTTACAAGATATCTACACATGTTAAAGTACTCTATAAAACAGTATAGAGCCACTTCACTTTAGGGTTACTTTTTATGCCGTACCATTAAAAAAGATACAATCTGTGTTTACCTTTGCACAAATGGATAAAGCGTTTAAAAAATTAAATTAACAGGATAAAGACTAGATTTAATGTTAGAAATTTCAACATAAATACTGATAGAAGTCACGTTACAAACTACAAGGCAGCACAATGTTACAAAATGTTATTGGGGCACACAGAGTTACTGGTCCGTTTTACACACGCTGGGATTAATATTGGTAAAGTGATTTCAAACACACATTTCTTGTTGGTGGACCGAGTAGTGTTTATCATTGGTTGGTTTAATTTATTATTAATCTGTAATATTTTAGTTGCAAAGCTGAAGTGTTTCAAGAACAAGTTTTAGCTTTTGAGTCTCCAGAGATCACAGGAAATCATGTTCTTGAGAAAACAACATTCTCAAAGGAAAAGAATAACTGTATCAATATTCTACATTCTGTATAAAAAATGGTCTGGTTTTCTGCAACCTGTCCTCCCCCAAGCAATATATATCGTCAGCGTTATCACAAGAAATCAGTTGATTTTTTTTTTTTTTGTCTCAGACCTCCCCCAAGCAATATATATCGTCAGCGTTATCACAAGAAATCAGTTGATTTTTTTTTTTTGTCTCAGGAGCATTCCTCTGCCTTGGTACTTTCTAGAGTAAGTTCAAGAAACAATTGTGTGGTGTGCAGCATATGAACTGAAACAGTCATCAGGGTTGCACATCATCAGCTGTAAGTGGTTTCTGCCAAATTACGTATAAATAACTCTATACGATTTCTGCAGGTGTCACATAACCCAGGAAACCTCATTTGACTTCACATTATCACTGTTTCATCCTTATGAAGGCAGAAATGGAATGTTTATCATGGCAAAGAATGTAATGCTGCTATTTGGGTGGATGATTCAACAATTAATTGTCCTAGGTTGTTTTATGATTTTTTAAAAGTCTTTTTGGGTGCTGGTTGAAAAACATTTACAACAGGCACTCAGTAAATGATGTGCTATATTGAAAACACTGGACATATTTTAGTACTTCTATCATTCTCATGAATAAGGCACAAAATGCACAGATTCAGGTAAACTCACATGTGGTATTTACAGTATATTGTCATTACCTGCATGACTTAGGAGAAGATTCTCACATAACACAACATAGACAACGTGATTGCACCACTGTTAAGTTTCACAGACTGTTTCTGTCAAGCCAATTATAATTCCTTTCATACATCTTTCTTTTATCTTGTTTTGTTTTTGTTTACCTTGGGGGTAGGAGGAGTTAAAGGATAAATTTTACTACATGGGAAAAAAGCCAAACAATCAAAATTAAAACTTATTATTGTGTCCAAGGTTAAATAGAGTGACTCAGGCTTTGATTCACAGTGGACAGGTAGTTTTACTATTGAATACTGGTGGATAAATCAAGAATACCGCTTAATAGCTCTATCTCCTTAAGCTGGAAAGACTGGAATAGAAGTTATAATGAATAGCAGCACGAAATTACTTGGGACTCTTACATTCTGGCATTGGTTTCACATACATCAAGTTCATCATTTCGACAGTCAAAGGATCCTCAATGTTATTCCTTTCTCAAAGCTGAACCCAATGGACTGCTGTGGGAAGAAGTTATTGTCTCTTGTTCAGTCATGCTCAGTGTAAACAACTCCATAGCACAAAAGATGCAACAGGCATCTAAACAAATCATAGTGGGTACAGCACACACACACACACACACACACACACACACGCAAACACACACTTGCAACACAGTTTTTTGGTGGCATGAAAAAAATGCCACACATGGGAAAAAAAAATGCTACTGTTTGGGTCAAAGACTGAATTTTTAGCAAACTGCTTGGTAATCTACAAGTTCGTTTCTTTGAGATATTACCATCTTTTTTTGACATTTGTGCAAGAGGCAAGGTGAATGCATACATATTAAAATGTTCACATTTAATGGGAAGACCACGCATAACGGCAGTCTAAATTGAACCCATTTTCAAGTATTTGTTCACAGATTCTTCTGAGTACCAAATCAGCTCTTTACACTGGTAAGGTAGCCCCTTGGAGCTACTCATCTCTTTAGCTTCAAACAAAAGAAATGTCATGACCAGCACCTTCCTTTGTTTTCAGGCAAGTGCACGGAAGCCTTGCTGCAGTAGCTACATGTGGCAAGTTCTGATGCTGCCAAAGTTAGAAACAGTTTCTTTGGCCACTTGGTTCTCTTAAAATACAAGTGAGTCTCTCGTCTTAATGTACACTTACCATGTCATCTTCTCAACAACACGGACAGGATAGAGCCATGGGGAAGAGCACACTGAGGCCTAGTAAGTGTATTTGTTCAGTGGTCTGACAGATGTGGTTTGAGGAACAAAGGAAGGCTTTGGTGGCACATCAGGTTTTAAGGACGGTGTCCTCTTTAGTCCCGTCCTAGGAAGGGTGCCATTACTGGTATAGCTGCTCTGTCTGGAGAGAGAAGGCTGCAGATGAACACTCACTGGTGTCCCCTGAATATAGTCCACCTTCGCCCCTGTGGGGGTGGGCATATATCCTCCACGGTTCATACTAGGCTGTCTAGATAACAAGACACCATTGGGTGAGTTTAAGTTTTTAGGCATAGCAGAGATAGAGTGCCTCTGTGAGGAATTTTTGTGATAACCCCTTTGTCTTTCCAGAGAAGTCATTGGGACTCCAGGAGTGGTGGGGACATCCACTCGCTTGGTTGGGCTATTTCTGGGGAGAGTCGAAGGAGGGGAGTAAAGCGATGCCTCCCGGTTAGGGACCTTAGGTGGGACCTCGGACATAGGTCCCACAGGATCCAGCATTAGGGTCTGGTGGGCCATTTGGATGTCTCCCATGATGGCTTTGGGGTTACTATTTGGGTCATTTAGATGCTTCAGGAGATCATTGAGGGTATTTCTGGAATCCACAGAACGCCGGTGATCTCTCTTACTGGATGACTTTGTAAGAGGGTGATCAATATTTTGAAGCTTCTTTTCAGCTTTGTGAGCATTGGAATTTGAGAAAGATGTGTTGTAGTCATGGGTAGCGTTAGGAAGAACAATAGCACTGGGGATGTGACCGTGACTTAATGGGGAATGGGGGGGAGGACTAGAAGGAAAAAACTGGGGGGTTTCTTTTCTTGAAGCCCCATGGCTGTGGGCCTTGTCTGAATGGCTCTTCATGGCTTGCAGGGTCTTCTGGTGGAGCACAGGTGTAGACTCAGGTGTGGGGAGAGCAGCCAGCTCTGGAGGTTGGCCTCGATGGTCCATCACCATGGATTTAGTATCTGCATTGGGTGGCAGCTCTTTCCGACTGGTCAGCAGGTTACTATACAATTTAGGAGAATCAATGTTCTGTTGGTATTCCTTGACTGGGCTGTCAAAGAGACCATTGAGTTTGGCAAAACTTCCACTGGAGTCTGTGCACGACTGGGCAGATTCTGCATCTTTATGGATCTTTCTGTTTTTCCGAACGAACATGTCTCGATAGCAGTATACTGCCACACCTGCAATGAACGCACCCAAAACAAAAGCGGCAAAGACACAGGTGATGAGAACATTCATGTGGACCATCTGGTTGGACTCTCCAGACTGCACTTCCCATCGTACACCTGCAATAGACACACAGGAAAGGTTTGAGTGAAGTGCATTTTAAAAACAACATTAAGCAGCAGATAGCTTCCACTAAGACAACACTACGTTCATATGGTCTATATGCTTAGCCTGAAGGGTCACGTAGACTCCAAAATTCCATATATTTTTTCTTTAATTACAATAGAGTCCCTACAGACATACGTGATTGCTGCAAATGCCAGGATAACTCTAACCCCATACTGATCTGTATTTTTCTATCCTTTTTCCCCCAACCCCTCTTAAGTAGTTGTTATATACCATTAGAAATTTTAGGAGTTTCTATCTAAAAAATAGAGTTAGAAAATGTATGTTTTTCTAAATAGCCTATATTAAATGCAGGAAACGTTTTGTCTCATGATTTCCTTCTAATTCATAAATTAGGATTAAAGGGCAGCTGATAGGATTAGTGAAACGTACAAATTGACATAAATACATATTATGCTAAAATAATTACACTAGTATAATTAGGCTAAATTAACAAGAATATGAAACATAATTTGTTCACAAACTAAAAGCATCTGCATGGTCACTGTTAGTTACAAATACAGACTTTCTCGTTTGCTTTGGTTTTTTTTTTTTATTCCATCTTGGGGTGAAACACTCTTGCATTACCTGCTATGTAAGAAATCAAGACGGTCTAAGGAAATATACTATGTATTAGTTAAGTAATATCATTAAATTGTCTGGAAATACTTTAGAAATATTTAAATTGAACCTAGGAGGAGAAGAGTGAATTAGTTTGTAATTACTGAAATTTTTAATGCAACCACAGACATCTAACAGTCAATCAAAGAAATGTTAGTTTAAGAGGTATCCAAGTCTGTTACATGCTATAAACACAGCTATCCCAGAGTAGGGTAAGTCAGAGTGATGTTGAAGATTCTGTGGCTTTACGTTAGTATTGAGGTCTTTGAATGTTAGCTGTTTTTAATCAATGTTCAGGGTTATGAAATGCAATGGCACTGTGAAAGACCAAGAAAGAAAAGTAGAAAGTAGTAGTATTGCTAAAGAAAGCAAAGTAAAAAGAATGATTTAAAAATTGTTTACAATGAAAACACATAAAACCAAAATTAACGGATATAAATCATAAATGACAATGCACTGCTGTAAAAACTGATTGGAAACTTGATTCCATAGGTTAGTAAGCACTAAAGAATAGATTTTTTTTTTTTTTCTGGAGTAATATATCTAATAAGCTCTCAACAGGCAGCTATCTTATAACTGCTTCTATTATGGGCTGAAAACGATAGTTATGGACAAGGACTCTGTAATGTTTTATTGCTTGTGACATTCAAGCAACTCAGCACCTCACACGTCCTTTTCATATTGCATTTTGAATTGAAGCGAAACAAGAGGCTGGGAAAGGCTCCTAGACAAAACATGCGATATCAGAATATTTGCAATTAATGAGTTTTGTTTTTTGATGTTACCAGAGTGACCCTGAAATTCTCTGATATCCAGCAGGCTCTCAGCTTCTTCAGACAGAAATCAACACAGATTAGATTGTCTGAGTGGCTGTTTCACCAACCCTTTGTTTAATTGCTTTCCACCTCTGTCATCTTTTAAGGAATGCACTCAGATATGACCACAGAAAACCGAAGTGACTGTGGCCAGTGCAGATGGAGGTAGCAGTAATAGCAGCTCCATTTTGGTGCACACTCCTCAGAGATATTAGGAATCAGGTTTCCACTCAGTTAGAGATGAGTTCCCTGGTGAAGCCTTACCCTTTGGGATACCTGATAAAGAATCAGTAAAATCAGAAGTGTTTGGGTCATCTTGAACTACAAATTTCCGGGAGCTCGTCAGTTTAGGGTTCCAGGTATCAACCACTTTAGGTGTAATTTCTGGGATACTTGCCATTGTGGTAACAGAAGATGAAGATACCTCCATGTCTGTGGTGGCAAACAGATTTTATTAACATGCATAGTGTCAGAAGATTTTTCTGATTGGTCTGTTGTATTTTTAAGTGAAGTTTAAGTACACTTAAGAGAAAGCTTGTTCTAGGATTTTGTAAAATCATACCTAAGGAGACTACGCTAAATCCTTTTCTTGCAAGAGGAAAATAAAAACTAAAAATTAACAGTAAAGACATATTAACTAGATTTCAAAACTAAAGACACTCCAACCATTCCTATTAAAGCCCCTGTAGTTATAAATGATACTCATGGAAAAGGTAATACAAATCCCAATGCAGATGAATTGCTGTTTTCTCATCTTCTTGTGAGACAACATCCTTTCATTTCTTTTTGTATATATTTTAAAAAGCACTTACATAGATGGCTGGAAAGTTTATTTCCTTTACTGGGGAAACTACAATATAGCTTTATCAGAAAATACCTGGTTAAGTCCATGTAAACACTTGATTTTAGATTTGATGAACTGGCTCTGCCTAAGAGGTTGTTCTGCTTTACCATGGGCCTCCTGTCCATCTGTAGAGTTTTCACTGCACTGAGGTCCTACTGTCCACAGTAAAACCCTGCAGCAGGGACAAACCTTGCCTGTGCTTTCCAAAATGCACAGGGTGTTTCTTCCAAAGAGTTAGCAGCAACTCATGCAAACACAATGGTATTTACAAACTGAATAAGGATATTCTGATATATAGGATCTGCTATCCTTTTCTCGCCCTGCCCCTGACAGATGAAACTGTGAGTTTTAGAAGCTGCAATAGGACTGGCAGTAACTTAACCTCTTAGGCATGTCTATTACCAATTTCCACCAAGTAGATTTTGCCTCAAAATGTAAGCATATGCTTTTAGGCTAAAACCACAGAGACCCCAATTCACACTGGTGCAACACAGATGAAGGCTCCAAAACAGACACAGGCAGAGGGGCGTAGACAGTCCATTGAACATCTTACAACATCAGAAACCAGCTTCATTCAACCGAAGCCTTTTTCACACCACGGAGACCACAACATTCAAAGATTCCCAGAATTACTGCAAACCATTCAAAAAAGATCTCTAAAACTAATAAATACACATTTTTTGGGAAATGTGTATTTGTTTACTAGGTCTTAGGAAAGGTGAGGAGAGAAGGGGAAAATAATGAAATTCTGCCATCCATGAACTGCGGATGGCTGGAGGGAACATTCACAACGCAGAGGGTGAGAAGGGAAAGCTCAGGTGGTGGGTGTACGTGCAGCTGGGATGCATCTAGGTTAACCCGTTTGATTTTCCTTAGAGGATGTGCCTTGGTCAATGATGAACTGTTAACATGCTACACAGGGGTGGAGTGCTGAGTAAGAAAAAGTCTTTTGGTACCGTCAGTGGGATTATGAGTCAAAGCAGAAAAATGAAGGGCTGCCAAACTGTGCAAAAGGAGGGAAGAAGGGGCTGAAAATGCTGAACTGAAGGAAAGAAAAGGTTGTTAATTCAAAAAAATTAAAAAAAACTAACCAGATGTTGGACCGCCAAATATTTTGTAATCTGGTGTAGTTGAAGTAGGCAAAATTTCTAAAAGAATTAAAGGAACAAGTAATCAGTGAAAAGTAACCAAAAGAAAGTAAAAATTTATGAATTCCAATTAACTAAAAAAGTCAAAAGAAAAGACTATAAATTAAAAGATTCACCTACTGGTTAGACTACCTTTCTCTAGATTTCCTACAAAATTGTAAATGGTGAAGAAAAAGAAAAAAGTAAGATTCTTATCTAACGTATCCCCATGACCAAACGGCTCAGCTTTTGCGAAGTTTAAGTTAAATGCTAGGTGGTATGTGTCCTGAGTCATTAAAAAGGCTGATTGTAAAATAATGTTCACGTGCAAATGTGGTCAAAAAGAAGTGCAGGCGGGAGTGGAAGGTTCTGTCTTACCGTTGCAGTCCCCTAGGTGGGCCGTGGTGCCGAACTCTGTGTCTTGTTCATATCCTCCAGCACTGTGGTTATGGAAAGCAAACAAGTCTTCAGTTAACAGCCTTCATAGGAACACAAGTGACACCCAGAGCAGAACCAAGAACACAGACTGATTAGTAACCGAACTCTGTGTCTTGTTCATATCCTCCAGCACTGTGGTTATGGAAAGCAAACAAGTCTTCGGTTAACAGCCTTCATAGGAACACAAGTGACACCCAGAGCAGAACCAAGAACACAGACTGATTAGTATGAATGGGCAGAGAGAAAAAAAATCGACATTTCCACCCAACTTGCTAAAATGACTATTTCTGTTACAAATTTAACTAGAATGTTGAAGAGAATAGAAAAGAATTGGTTTTTTCCTCTCCATCCATTTCCCTATTATTATGCCTATATTCGCCCTTCCTTCTCACATCTTCGGGTTTTCTTTTTTCTTCTTAATAAATAAAGAAAAGAAGAAAGAAAGAAGAGGAAAAGTAGTGTGGAAGTTTTCTAGAATTGCTAGCTTTTAGGGACTCTGGAGGAGAGAGTTCATCCTGGCTAATGTGACAAAGTACACTTACGGTATCCCTGGGGTGACTCTACCACAGGATCCCTGGCTCAACCAGCCACAGTATGGGTCACGGGATGCAATACAAGACCTGTGTGAAACCAAACAGAATGTTAACTTGAATCTTCTCGTCAGCAGAGGTTTTGATGCGGCAAGCCCCAGGGTAAGCACAGAAACCCGAGCTTACTTTTTACATGATCCATAACGCTCACAGCGACTGAGGGGGATGCGGACGACACAGCTAGAGAACGCCACGTACAGAACGTGGTGATCTTTATCCAACTGTAATGAGATGACCCTTTTGTCCTCCTCGCTTTCAGCACTGCACCTATTTTATGGGATACATTTTGAAGCCACACATTTAGTCAGTCGAAAGCTACATAAACTGAACAAGGCAAGTGTGGTTTGGTTTTGTAATTATGGGGAACTGGGGGGACTCTTAAGGAATATCCTTGGGAGCAAACCAGGCAAGTATATAGTTTGGGAAATAATAATTATGTGATTCATCATCTACTTCTCTGCATGGCTGGTTAAATTTCAGGCTGGACAAAGGGTTTTTTTTTAAGATTGCTCTTCTGTTATGATGATCGAAGGAAATTGCATTTGTGAAGGCTGTATTAGACTAAAGGGAATGAAAAGGATAATGTTTTAATGCATTTACATTTTCCCATGCTGGATGTTTCTGGATCTCTCCTTAGTCTCCTTTGCTCCAATTCTCTCACCTATTTCTTATTTGTTTTAATGGTCCAGATAATCCCTTACATATCAATGGCTGGAAGAAAATGCTTAACTAGAGTTATATTCCGTGTGTGGTGTGTGTGCTTACTACTGGCTGCTGCATGTAGCATTCCTGAAATATATCTGCAAGGTAAGAGGAGTGGTGCTAAAATGTCTCCTTTTCTACAGATGAAAAACAAGGGCTGAATTATTTTTAAACTCATCAACTGTTCAACCTCCTTGCCTAGTGGGCTCAGGACAAAAACAAAACAAAACAAAAACAAACCCAGGATTTATTTCAGTGAGGAAAAAAAACACTAATATGCCAAACCACTGCTAATTTAGAGGGCTGAGAGGAAATGACTAAATAAAATACATGCCGGAAAATTTTGAGCAGTGCTGAAGAGCATTCTCGTAAACTATACCTACTTTGCATGGTTGTAAGCTTCAATCTCTTCCAGTAATACGCTGTCATTCAAAGAGAAGGGACTGGTCTTTGCCAAAACTTTAAGTACCACACCAGCTTCAGAGCCAACAAAGATGATTGTGTAGTTCTGGTGGGGCCCGGCGGTCCGGTCCACTGCGATGGCCGTCAATCTGTACCTACCAGGGGAGGCGGGCAAGTCAGAGGGCAGGCCAACAGGAAGAGGTCACGCTGGTGGGAGCGGGCCACTGTCTTCCACATCATCTCACCTGACCCGAGTCTTCGTGAACCAGGGCTCATCGGCGATGGGAGGAACGGCAGAGTCCATCAGGGGGTGGGATTTGATGAACGACAGGGTTTCATCCGGGAAATCGATGGAGGTTTTAAAAGCCTCTGCAAGGCCATGTTTTGCACAACACCCAGGCCTGAAAGGTAAACAGTGTTCCTTTATTCTCCTCTCCTCATCCCCACACTCAAATTATATCTGAAAGTTAAGTGTACATTCTGAAAGAAGAGGTCAGAGAGGAAGGAGAGAGTGAAACCAGAGGAGCAAGGCTCTTCCCCTCAGTTCCACGAGTTCTCCACATGCACACTCACAGAGCTGCAGGCCACAGGGTTATGTTTACTGACTCTCTTCTGCAGAGGGACCCTTCCTGAGGTGGAGGCTGGCCCAGCTGCTCTCTGAGGATGGACGCTTCCAATGACCAGAGGGTTTCATTCAAGATAAAACCCTTTTCGACTTTTTTCTTTACCTTGGCTTTGGTACTTTGTCTTCGGGGACTGCTGTCCAAACAGAATCTGGAGTTTTCTGTTCTTTAAATCTTCCTTTGAATACTTTTTCAATGTCATCCATGCTAAATGCACAGACTGCAGAACCAGGAATGCTGAAAAAAGAAGAAAATCATCAGGCAGAGCTGGTGTCAATGGGCCCACTCCCGGTTCCAACAAGCACACACAGAACATCTTTTGAAGTGCCAGGGATCTGTTCTTACCTGTTGAGCTGTGTAGTGAACACCCCGACCACAGTGGGGATGCCATTGATTTGTATTATGTCTGTGATAGACTGCAGAACATCAAAGTAGAAAAACGAATCTCCAGGGACAGAACAGTTAAGCCGAGCTTTCAGAAATGAAGTCCAGTGTTTCTCCAGGACCCGCTGGGAGCCACCCATGTCGTTCTTACATATGCGGGCCACCCGGGAATATACAGCCTGCCCATGGGACAAAGGCAGAGTGATGGGGTTATGAGCATGGAAGAGGAATGGAGACAAAAAGCTGCTATTTAAGGGAAGCACAAACATTGCTAAAGATATATCTGGCTCAAAAGAACCTAGCAGCCTTCTCTCTAGGGGTCTGTACAGTAAGAATGTAAACTAGATTTACCTGTAAGAAAAAAAGGCCATTTTCCTGTTCTGCTAAACATGTTCCCCAAGAAGCAAGCTATCTGTCTGCCTTGCTGAGAGAAAACCATTCCTGCACTTTGTCTCAAGCTTTGCTTCTCGTAGTATTAAAAGTGCCATCTTTCAACTTGGCATAGAAGGGGTTGCAATACTTTAAAATCACAGGGCTTTGACTGAAACACTAAAAACTGAACAGGGGCCCCTACTTTCCATCCTGTCTTTTGACACTGAGAAAGAATAGACTATTAATAGGTTTCTAAAGAGTAAAAGAAGCATCCATAGCTCAAGGGTACCTGTACAACACTCTGTGGTGACAGAAAAATATGAAACCTTTTCAAGGTCCAAGGCTGCCATTCCTACCTTGGTCATTGCTCAGGTGTTTTCTAGTAATTATTCTCATAAGCAACCCACCTCTCTGCACCTGGTCCTCCCTATGCTGCAGTGAGTGCTGGAACATGTGCCAAGAGAGCATCTGTAACTCTCCCACAGTGGTCTCAATTCCATGCAGTACAAGTTTACCATACAAGTCAAGCATATATACTTGCCTTGCCTAAATTATTATGTTCTACAGCAATTTCTCGAAAGAAGAAATAGACATAGTTTCCATATTCTATGGCATGAAGAAAGTGCGGCTCTGAAAGAAAAATTGAAAACAAACTGGTTCCTAAAGGATAATCTAGCATAAGACCCCGACTGCCAGGCATGACTGACAGATGTCGCATAGTTACATTCAAGCCAACAAGAACTGATACACCAGTGACACTGAGGAGTCCCATTATGGGTGTGTTCAAGCTTCAGGGAACTGGTGTCTTTAAAGTCAGCTAATGGACT